AAATTAAAAGTTAATACGTTCAATCGTGTTAAATGATGTGATTATAAACGGCAAGAAATGCGTAAGAAGGAGCTCCAACTAAAATAACACACTATGGGTTTGCAGAGTGATAAATCGAAAAAACAAAAATTTATTATACGTATAAATTTTAATAAACATATCAAAATAATTTAAGCTACTGTTTAAGATTGTAATATACTTATTATTAAAAAAAAATTTACTCTCTTCCAAAAAATATTGTGGGTACAGCATCAGGATGAAGAAAAGCTCTTTTTTGGCCTATTTTGTACCACTTTTCTTCAAAATGCAAGTGGCATAGTCGATAGTTGCGATGACCATATTCTGGGCCCATCACTTGTAAGTCGAGTCTTCCGCATGCATGTATCTATTGCAACCATCTAAAAATGTTATACCAATTTGTTATTAACATAAAAAATATATTACATATATGTATAGATAGATTTTAGAAAAATATGAAAATATTGAATTATGTGTGTGGATTCAATACATCTATATAAAATTATATACATGCTTTAAAAAATGATAATTAAAACAAAATTGTACCTATCATGTTCCTTAGGAAATAAAAAAAAGTATCTTTTCTCCGTAATATTGTTGCACTCCTTCGCAACACCCCTTGATTTATACGATTCGACATCTTTTTCTATATTTTTCCTGTTTTCTAAGAAGCAGCACCTGCAACAAAGCTAAGATCAAAAGTGCTTTTTGGAAAAGAATAGAAAATCTGTACAATCTTATTTATATACAGATTAATTATTCCTTTAAGAGTGAATATAATTTCTCTTGGTTAACTGTCGATTTTAAGTTTTATTTCTTTCACTCTTTATATTGAACACTGAATACTGAACACTGAACACTGAACACTAAACACTCCTGCTCACTTTCTTTAACTTTCACGTCTAACTCCGATTTCTCGTACACTTCACTTCTATGTAAGATGTCTGTTACCGCCAATTTTAACCGTTATATAGGTATTTAAATGCTATTGAGACAAAGCGCTATAGAGGAAATAGAGAAAGGAAGTGCGACAGAAGATCAGTTATGTGATTAGTTATCTACTTAGCTCGCGCATGTGCAGTTGAATTTCGTACACGCTGAAATTGGGAGAGTTGCGCTACTGTATATATACTGTGGTCCCAATCCATGGTTATATACAGTCAAGGAAGCGCACCAACAGCTGCATATATGTTCCAATATCTCTTCTCTTTCATGATTTTTTTATATTATACGGAAAAAAATCAAACCTGTTTTGCTGATAAACAGTAAGTAGTATAAAATCGATATAGAAATTAGTTTAGTTGATTCATTTTTTGTTTCCAAGTTTAATTTCTGGAGCAATTTAAATTTTGCAATAATAATAATAAGAAAATAACACAGTTAAATTTTGCAATTTCTTTTTCTTTGATGCTCGTGCACGTGTGCTCTGCATATCTTCTATTACGTGGTGGTGGAGGAACATCAAGAGACACGGTATAGTGTCTCGTGCCAAGTATACGCGGAGCGAGACCGACCGCGACTCTTTTACGCGACGCGACGGGTTGCGAGTACTCGAGATGTTGAGATTGAATACACGTGCTCGCAAAAACATTTCTTTATTTAAAAAAATGTAAAAACTGTTTTTTCTTTAAAATATTCAATTAGATAATAATGATATACATTAAAAATAATATACTGTTGAAATTAAATTTTTATTTTAAAACAGCACACAAAGCATGTGCTTGCGATATTTCATATTTACAAAGAACTATTTTATTATTTAAAAAAATTTTGAGAAACTATTTTTTAATTTTAATTATTTTAATAATAATATATAATAATGCCGCGAGACGAGACGAGACGAGACGAGATGATATTTAGACGAAACGAGACTTTGTCAGGGTGCAAACCCATGCAGCGGAACATTAAGTAGTATAAAAATTGATAGAAATTAGTTATAGTTGATTGTATTGTATTGTATGTAGTTTATTTCTGTCCTCTCAGGGTTTACAAAGGCGTTTTTCACGGGGAACGTTCCCAAACCCCTTACAATATTATACCTTACCCTCATACTCGACCTGGCCGTAGCGACCCCTTACATTTTCTTTCCCTCCCTACCTTCCTCACCCTTTACCCTTTCTACTCTCTTTCCCTACATTCTCCCTTTCCCATTCCTTCTTATCCTACTCATTCCTCTCTCTCGTCAATCCACCTCCACTCTGTTGGTTATTCGTTACTCGGACTTTTCTTTCCTTCGCCCTTTCCTTCCCGCTCGATCCCGCTTCTCCCTCTCTGCCCTCCATAATTCTCTTAATCATCTCCAGCTCCTCCCCTACCTTCGCTATCCTCCTCACCAACTCTTCCACCCACTCTATCTCCCTCCGTTCTCCCTGACATTCCCCTTTCTTCTTTCCTTTCTCTTCCTTCGCCCTTCTTAAACCCTTCCTCCTTTTCTGCTTCCTCTCCGTTTCTCTTCCCTACTCCTGTTTCACCTCGTCAACCTTCCTGTCTCATATCTCCGCTCTCTGCTTCCGCTTTCCGTCCACTCTTCCGTCTCTCTTCACCTTTCTCCTCCTCCTACAAGCAAACTTTCCTCAGCTCATGTCTCTTAACCTCCCCCCCTCTTCTCCTCTCTACTTCTCCTCTACCCTCCTTGCGAGCGTGTGTATGTGTGTGACCCCTGCCTCTCTCCTCCTTCTCCCCTACTCTTTTCCTCCTTCAAGTAAACTGTTCTCATCTTCTATTCTTTTTACTCATCCTCTCTCGTTCTCTCTGCCTCTTCTAACCCCCGTACCTCCGTACGTGTGCATGCGTGTGTGCGACTCCTGCCTCTCTTTCTTCTCTCTTTCCCTCTGCCTCCTCTAACCCCCGTATATGTGCGTGCGTGTGTGTGACTCAACTCGACTTTGATCAAAACATGCTAACAGGAAAATTCCTGAATTCGAATAAAATATTATGAAAACTATTGTAGCTAATATGTAAAATATTTAATTAAGTCGAGAATTGCAACTACTTGGCATAATTATCAAATAAAATATTAAACGAATATTATTCCTGTGACGCATGATCCATTTCTTTTCTCTAAATCAATTCGTACCCTTATTACAGTTCTTTCTAATTATTTCAATGATGCAAATGCCGATACGTTATTCTATTAAAATTTATAAATCACAATAATTTCATTTAATTCCCTGCTTATTACATTGTTTATAACGTATTGCAATCATTTTCGAAGTTTTAATTTGCTTTTTTTACTAATCTTACATTTTTATTTTCAGGTACGCTATGCTCACTCTGGATCTGGATCATCAGTGATGATCGGTCGAGTTGCAGTTTGCAGTTTACATCAAAAGAGGAAGTTTTCGTTGAGCGGAAGAGAGAGAGACAGCTACGTGATAGAAAGAGAAAAAAGATGGCAAATGTGCGTGGCGTGCCGCGTGACTTGCGTGACCGCCCAGGCGCTCGCTGCGTATGCTGGAAGGAGAGGTCGGGAATGTCGGGATAGATCGATGATAGTCGAGGTCTTTTCTTGCCTACCTGTTGAAGAGTGCGGACGTATGGTCGAGTGCGGTCTTAGAGTATTCTAGATAACGTAAGTGTAACGTAAGCAATTTAAATTTTGCAATTTTTTTTCTTTGGCCCGGTGCACGTGAACGTGTGTATGCCGTATGTTCTTCTACCGTGTGAAACACAGTACCACGTGGTAGAACATGTTATAACGTGTATCGGAAAATGAAATAAAAGATACATTGAGTAAGATAAAAAATACATTTCGGAAAATCTTAAACCTATATCCTGCCTCTCTTCTCCTTCTCCCTTATTTACTTTTATTCACCCTTTGCCTTCACCTACTTCTTCTCTCCCTCTCTTCCAATTCTTTCCTTGCTCTCCCGGTGCCCAAGATTTGCAATGTATTGTTAATTAAAATCTTTTTCTACAAGGGCTGCAATATATTCACAGCCAGTACTAAAAAAATCTATAGTTTACATTACGTAATACACATGCAGACAATAGTGTCATCTGTATTAACAATGTGAATGAAAGAAAGATGAATTTAGGTTATATAATCTTTATGCTATAATTACAAATATGTGATATTATATAATGCATTTTAGCATATGCTACAAAAGCAAGGATTATTATTCTCCATATTTTTGGTCTTCTTTCAGAGAGAAAATATGACATCCAATTACCAATCTTTATATTGTGAGAGTTGTGGTCGATATCCTTATATCGGCAGAAAATCCGTTGGAGAAGAGAATATTAGAGTTGACTTCATCTATCAATTTGTGAAGAAAAGACACGTTAAGATCTATTCTAATCTCAGTGTATTTCATACTGCCCCTGACATAATTGGACCACCCAAATTTTCAAACTATGGAGAACCATTTCAGGTAATTATTTAGAATATTTAAATAGACGAATTTCCCTTCATGACTTTAACTTTGACATTGACATATGTAGCCAAGATTACTCTTCTGAGTAACATTCCAAAGATTTAGCTATCGTTATTGATTAAATAATTATTAACAAAAGATATAAATAGAATATAGATTATTCTTTAACACCGTATAGATAGAACTATAGTACGTAATAAGCATGTATAGTATTATACCTTGTTTATATGTGTATAATATATATACATATATATAAACTTATACATAAAGGAAGAGGCTGAATCCCTTTTCCGCCCACATGTATACTGTCTATAAACACATATCAGCAAATTGACTTTCCTTAATTAGCACTATTATATTTCTCAAACTTGTTTATTAATAACGTTTTAATAAATATTAACGAATGACGGCTAAAACCTTTGGAAGGTTACTCAGGAGAGTGCTTCCTATAATATATATGTCAAGGTCAAGGTCGTAGAAGGTTGCTCCTCTAAACTAAATAATTATCCTATTTTATTCTTAATGGAGAAATATATTTTATAGTATGTGTATTATACATTATATTGTCCTGTACAAAGTAATCGGAATCTAAATTATATGCTACAAGATTTTTTCTACTATTTGATACATTATGACTTTTCAAAACAGAAATTGAATTGATGGAATAATGATATCGACATTTCAATAACTCCGTGGCAATACGAAGAATCCATGACAAGGCCGCCATGGCATAAACTTAGTAGACCGATCGGAAATAATTATATTGGTATGTAATACCTGAATTCACAAGTAAGATATTGTTAAAGAAGATACGCTTTTGTTGAGAAAATAATAATATAATTAAAATAATAATAATAATATAATTATATTTTCTTTTTTGAAGATATCGAGTTTCATGAAGCTGTATATCCAGTCAGAGTTTCTATATACGAAATGTACAATCCCGGAGGCGTAATTCACATTTTGGCTCAAGATGATTCTAATAATGAGTGGCTTAAATTGTGGGGAACTGATTATAAGTTTGATACCCCCGACATCAAGATCAAGATTATTTTCCTCACCTTTATCACACTCGTGTGACTTTAAAACGAAAATGCTAAGACTATTTTTTAAAAACGGTTACGATGAAACACGTCTTGGCCTTTACACAAAGCTAGATGCTGTGATGCTTATTGGTACATCAGAGTTGGTTCGTCCTAGAAATTATGAGAAGAGTTTAAGTAATCTGTTAAAGGAAATTAACTGCATGTACTTTCCACACCATGAGGATATTCATAATTTAACAGCAGATTTCAAAAATGCACACTTGGATATAGATTATCTGCAACAACATTTTTCTGAATATTGCATTATAATAGAATATTGTAGGGATGGAAGGTATTATTATCAACATTAAGTAATATTAAAATCTCTTTATTCTGTTAATAATAAAAATGAATTTGTTCCGATGTTATTTGCAGCTACATAAGAAGGGTTTCTAAGGAGAGTATTTTGAGAGAGAATTTGATGCACAAAAATGTATCTCTGGAGGTAATT